TTGATTGCAACTAGACAAAAAATGCCTGATTCCATGAAATTCAGTTTTTGTTGCATTTTCAAAGTATATCTGATGCTGTATACCCAGCCTTGCACAGCTAATGCTTTAGTGTTTGGAAGCACCAGCAATTTTACATCGTCTGTGCTACACAAATGTTTTTTCAGGAAAGGGAAAAACACAACTGATGCAACACTAGTTTTATACTTAAGAACTGAAATGCTGTTGCCACAAGTCAGATGGCTTGACACTTTATTCAAAGCCTCTATTCTGCATCTTCCAGTTTACACCAGTATGCTGGTCTTTGGCATGCTACTGTATTAGTACAGTATAAATTACTAACCCCAATGCATGCAATATCTGGGTTTTACTTGGGTCTCTAGCCCAGTACTGACCAGGTTCAATCCTTAGTTAAAATTTAAGGTCCAGCAAAGCCAAATGTAGTAGAACATTTGGTTGGTAAAATATAAAAACCTACTCTTCTGGACACTTAAGATGCTACTTTTCTTTGTGCTTTCATCATTTAGCAACACTAGTTTTAACATTTAGAATATATTAAGTGCCAACTTGAAAGTTTTCCATGGTTTCTTCAACCTGCTGTCCTGTACCTTGGTGTCTTTTACATCCTCAGAAATGGCTGCTAACAGAAGTTCTTCAGAACACATTTAATTAAAAAAATATAGGTACCTACAAGGAGAGGTTAGTCAGAGGTCCTGACCAAAGAGGGTCTTGCACTACAATCTAACGTTTGCCAGAACTTTAGGTTTGGGTTATCAGACAGCAGGACTCTGAGAATGAGATTGTATTGAGAATGTTACTTGTCTACCTTGGAGTGCTGCCCACAGGCACAGCTTCCTTAATAGTAGACAGTTAAAGGTTTCTGGGCTCTTACAGACCATTGAATTCCTCTTCTGAACAGAAAAGCACAGATCATAAGCTACAGAAATGAACAGTATTCTGCATTAACTGAAGGTACTTTTCAGTAATTGCTCCAAGTAGAGCACATGGCAATCATAGGGCTTGATTACTACAGAGACTGGATTACTGTGGTAAAATTCATCTCAAAAGAACAGTAACAACTGGAAGAGAAACAGCTTGCTTAAAAAGGTTGCCTGAGGCTCCAGGAACAGCGTTGGATTCACTGATAGAGAGCATGTGAATCACTGCCAAATGTTCAACATGTACTTTGGCTGATGTATGCACATCCCCCAGTGCAAGGACAAATGGTGCAACAAATGATCTCATGCAGTGAATGCCCCTGAAATTTTCCTCACTGTGGACAAGATCTTAATGTTAGACTTTTTATTTACAGTTAATGCACAAAAGATTTAGAATACATCTATGCACCTTTACCTATATCTCACTTAAGAGAAGTTAGAGGATGATGATGATGATAACTCGTTTTTATTAAGGAATATTTTAGTTTTCACTGATTTCAACTGAAATAGGACGCAGTATCAAGCTGTATCAGTACATTAGGCATTCATCAGCAGGACAGGTAGATACTGGTTTGGAAGTGCACTGTATTTTAGCTATATTGGCTAGGGGAGAATCCTGTGGTACTAAATTTTGTGTATGTATATGGTTCGTGGACCTCAGCCACACTTCTGGGGAAACATGTTACAAAAATTGCCTACAAATGTGTAGGCGTAGAGAAACTGCATGGCTATTGCAGCTCATTGATAAGACATCTATATAATATCTGTTGAATTTGCCCTGCCAGTCTGTCACTACCTCTTGTTTTGTGTAATAATTATGGAAATGTAGTAGGTGGATTTCATTACTTATTTATGCAGCTACATAATCAATTATAACGACAGTTTGGGGAGTGGGCTTTTTTCATTTGTCTTAATTTCAAAATCAGCCCTATGACCTTCATCTTAGACAACTAGTCTGAAAGCCTTAAAAGAATGTTACAGGGGTATAGGTTGTCACTGTGTTGGTCTAAGGACATAGGCAGACAAGGTTCTTCGGGTGAATCTGATATCTTTTATTAGACCAACTTATAGTTGGAAAACAATTATTAAGCAAGCTTTCAGGTTCAAAAACCCTTCATCAGGCTAAGGAAGTTTCAGCAGTTGATGTGTGCTCTTCCTGGATGGAATGAAAAGAAGAGCACACACCAACTGCTGAAACTTCCTTAGCCTGACGAAGGGTTTTTGAACCTGAAAGCTTGCTTAATAATTGTTTTCCCAACTATTTAAGTTGGTCTAATAAAAGATACCAGATTCACTCAAAGAACCTTGTCTGCTTAAAAGAATGTAGCATCATGGTGATGCCACATTGCCATGTGAATAGAGTTTTGTCTAAGAGGATTAAGGGGAAGGGAAGGCAGGACCAAGGAAGGGTTATGATGATGAGATGTTGATAAATATTCAAACTCTTTATGCAGCATAAGATATGTACATTACTTCTTGCACACAGGTCCATGTACGTACATTGCTTGTATGTAAGTGGCTTTTGAATGTAACCCTTTAAATACAGAAGCTTAAAATTATTTACACTTTCCTTTGTTATAGTCCTTACTAGATTAGGTTCAAAGATCTAAGTTTTGTTCTGGAAGCAAAGGCTTCCTTCAGCTTCAAGTTTTCCCCTAGTCATTTTTACAACTGTCTCCAAGTTATTCTTATAAGTAAGAAGCTAAATTACTTGTGTTCAGTATAAACATTTATTCCTTTTAAGTAACGTTGTTCCTTTTTTCATATCCTTAAAAGCATGGGCATGTATGTCTATGCTTTGTAGACCCTAAAATGTTTGAAGTGCAAGCTCTTTTACATGGAGTAGGTTAACTTTATTTTCTGATGTGATAGAATATTATGTAGAGAGAATGAATGAAATAGCTAAGGTGGAAATAAATTTTGAGTAAGGTTCTAGAGGAGAAATGCTTTTTGTGTATGATCTATACCCAAGCCTTATTCTTAGCCTTTTTCTTGACTTCTTTGCCCTTGTAATTGTATGAGAGATGCAGCTATAGGGAACAGTTTAAATTCCCTAGTAATGCTGCTTTAACTTCTTAGTTTTTAACCCCTTGATACCTAAAGTTGTAATAGCTGACAAGCCTATGTAAAGTCATTAAAGTGGGCAGCAGGAGCTCACAACCTATTGCCACCAAGGGGTTAAAATCATATTAAATATGTTCATGAAGGACCACCAATATCTGCTGTACAGCTTTTTTTTTACTTTCCAGTTCACTAATCAAATGTATGTTAGATTTATTATTGTAAAAGTATAAACCATAGAAAATTTGACAAGATAGATGTGTAAATTATCACTTTGACAGAACTAATGATGCACTCCAAGCACCTTCTGTTTTCCAGCACTTGGTGAGCGACTTCATTAAATATGCAATGGCTGTTTGGTGGCTGCTCAGACAGTAGTTCAGTTCCTCATGGAATTGCATTATTACTGGAGGTGTTAGAAGAGGCAGGCATGCTAGCTGTTGGGCATCCTGCTGTGGTTCTAATGTGCTCCATCTTGTTGGAGCAGTTGTTTGCAGTCTTTTCAGGACAATTACATCCATAACCACAGGACACGTTCACTGAAACTACATTACAGATAACGTTTGAGAATGTCAATGACTGCTCTTCAACTCCTAGTTTGTAACAGCTAGTGTGGGTGGCATGAAGTGATGGTCAAGCCATATACACAGTCACTGTAGTTTATTTAACTAGACTTAAATATTTAACTAGACTTAGACAGTGAAATTGTAATGACAGTTTATTTAGAGGGGGATTTCTTAGCACTATAAAGTAAGATTGACGGATGTTTCTGCATCATATGAATACTTAATAATTGTACTATTAATTGGAATATTTGCTTATTATTTATATACCAGTAGAAACAGTGCGTTTGACAGTATTTCAGGTTTGGTTTGATTTGGCGGGGGGAAGGGGAGGTTGCATTATTGTACCTTGTATTTTTATTTCAGTCAGTGTTGTGTCTAGCTTCTATTCCTTAAGGTATAAACACAAATATTCTGTTCTCCAGTGGTGTCCCCATCATTTATTATTCTGATGACAGTTTGATGGTTACCCTGAGAATGGGACACAAAGATGTCTTGAATTTGTTTCAAATACTCTTAAAGGTTTTCGAGACAGATGTTATAGTACATCAGCACATACTGACAAATGGATTGTGTCTTAGGCTGACATGTTAAATACTACACTGTCTTGAATTAAATAATGTCCCCTATTTTGAATGACCTGTTAAATCAGGGTTGATGAGTTAGTTAATACATGAATATTCCTTTAACTTGGTCATTTAAGTTAACCATTATTAGGACTTGTTTGTGTGATAAAAGTTATAGATTACTAAACTTTTCTCCAGTAAATGTAACTGTATCTTGTATGGAACTGATTCCTTTAAATACACATTTTAATCTGAAGCTAGACTTCTTTATGCTCTTCTATGCAACTATCAAATGTATTTAATACATGTAAAATTTTTCTAAACTGAGAGTGTTTTAGGTAAATAAAATTGAATTTTTACACACTCATTTTTTAAACTTCAGTTTAGAAAGTGGTGTTGACATTAGAAATTTGGTTAATCCTGTTTAAAACAAAAGTTTTAAGGGCACTTGTTTGCTTGGTAGCTTTATGCAAGGAAAATTATTTTTAAACGAAGCAGAACATTTTTGTGTGCTTTTACTTTTAATCATTTCCTCTCAACATTTTTTTTAAATTTCCCATTATAGTGAGGTTCTGGGGACTTCTTAAAATTTATATAATTACTATTTGTAATATGACACATCTCAACCTAGCTTCATCTAAATTTCATAGTTTGCAAAGAAAGTAGACAGCATGGAACACAGGCTTCCTCTGGGAGTACACTGAGCTTAATGAGCTTGATAGTCTGGTGGGCTCAATAAATCAAATAAAGCAAAACATTTCTCATTTTTGAATAAAAGCATTTATCACAGAGTGTTTATTCATTCATGGTCACAAGATTGATTGGCTCCTAGTATCATACCGTATATTGAAACGTTTTGTTTTTTGTTTTTCCAGTGGGGAAATTGCGGAAACAGTGGATGAAGGAGACCATCTCTGATGTTGGTTTGGGAATGCTTAGGTCTGTCAAAGAATACGTGGACCCTAATAATATCTTTGGAAACAGAAACCTTTTATAAAACCACTTAAGGTCTCATGTACTAAATTTAAAAATGACTGTCAAAATTCCTTTTAAACATTTTCATTGTATTGGTATCCCAGTAATCAAATATAACATGGATTAAACTATAAAAGCTAGTATTTTTCTTACTTTTATTTTCCTCCAGTAAAATGTAAATGTTCATTGTTTAATGTTTACAGATTTACTTATGCTTCTAAACCTTTCAACAGGCATCCAAACAGAGTTGTATCAAGGTATTTTATCAGCCTGGAAATGCAGATTTGGTATTTCAGGTTGGGTTAGGCATCACAGCTGATGATCGTAGTTTCCATGTTGGATACAGGCAGCTGTTTTTTTACTAAGCCATCCCCTACAAGGCGAACAAAGACTGACACCAGTGGTTTCTACAGAAGCAGCTGCTCAACCAGCCTCTTCCTAGAGGAAAGCTGCTAGGAAACAGATGAGATGTGGATTACATCAAGGAATGCTCCTGTGTGCTGAAAAGTTAAGTGTGTAGCAGATCCAGAAATGTGTAAAAGAATAAACGCAGGCTTTGTTTAGAAGATTAGCATGCTTCTATAGAATATGTGGCTTGCCAGTCTCCTGTTCAGCATCAATGAAAACTATGAAATCTTTGAGAACTCTTCTTGTTGTCTGAGTTTTATATTTGTATTGCTGGGATAATCTTTAATATATCCTAGATGGTCATAAGTTTTGTACAGAACAGCAGACATTTCTCACTGTATGTTACAAACAGGTTTGTTTATATAAATTTGCCTTCATCACTGCAGTCCTAATGTGTCTGGTTTCACTTCCTTATTTTTGCAGAGATGTGGAACAAACCCTTTTCCAATAGAAAACGTTTTGGTTATTTTACAATAAAACAGTTTTCCCAGCACCCTGTCATTTGAAGTGGTCTCAACAGTTTTATTAGACTAAAATGGAAGATATACTGTTATCTTAAAATCAAGTTTCCAGTTTTAATATTCTGTAACTTCTTATGGCCTTTTTGAATTATTGGTTTACTTGATGAATTACTACAGATATAATCAGTGTAATCAACATGCACAACTTTTCTTAGTCAGTGCAACTATCGGTCACTAAACATTTTTACATTGAAACCTAGATCTTAAAATTAGCAAAATGAAAACTTAAACTATTTGCTGTCAATATTCAAGACTCATGTTTTAAGTGCATTCTCTTCTTAAACTTGCCAAGTTTTTGATATCTGAAAGACGGTATAGAATCGTGTCGTAATACGAAATACCATTTTTTCCTTTAAGAGGACATACTGTCTCTTCAGTTAACTAACTTTACAACTCTGAGCAATTTGGACTCCTTTTTATATCTGTAATAAACTAAGGAAAGTTTAAAACTGTTTCAAAATACCATCTAATTATCTGTCAAATTTCAGTAACAAAACATTGAAGATTATAATCTATATGATTGAAAAATATAGTGTTGAACCAAAAAGTTGATACTGTCTTAGAACTGATTTAGGCTATCTAATAAAAAAAACATCTAAAAGATCATGAATACTCAACAGCACTTTAAATTCTATGAACTCAAGAAGATACCTAATTAAAAGTACTCGAATATGTCCATAGGTCATGAAATGGGAAGTAATGATATTTTAATGCAGCTAGAGGGTCTTTTTTTAATGGACTTCATTTCATGTAATTTATGTAGAGAGAAAAAAAAGTGAATCTAGTCTCCTGAATCTTATTTTTAAAGTTTTGGCCCATGGAGTTCATATTTCAGCAGTACTCAAATTTGTATTCGGTTCTAGGAAATTCTGATTTCCAGCACTGTATGTGGTTAAGTGTTCCTTATTCAATATCTACACCAGGTACTTGTCAACAAAGTGAATTTGTAGAGCAGTGGTTTTCAACCTGTGGTCTGTGGACCCCTGGGGGTGCACAGACTGTCAAAGGGGTCTGTGAAAGATGACTATGATCAATTAAAAGTATGTGAATACTCATACTTATGGAGGGGTTTGCATCTCCATTTGAAATTTACAAACAGGCCTGCATCTCCATTTGAAATTTTTTAGGAGTCTGTAACTGAAAAATGGTTAAAAACCACTGCTGTAGAAGGGTGTGTGGGTGTGGGTGTATCTGTGCGTGTGTATTTAATGCAGAAGGTTTCTCAACTTCTCGTGCTATACCAATGGTGATTACATGCTAGCAGCCAGAATCCTGCTGACTGTTTGTGTCACTCTGCAATGCATTAAAAGTCAGTACATATGAAAGGTTTTTTTCTTATGTGCCTGAATATGAGCATAGCATGTCTAGCTATGAAGAATCATAATTCTGAAGGAACGTGTGCAGATAGTTGAAAAATTGCTTCTTGTATGTGACAGCACATGCAGAATTAAAGCAACAAGGATTTGACTTCCTCATGGTTATTTTGAGCTCAGTATGAGCTAATGTACTCTTTCCCTCAAAAACCTTTTGGCTCATTTTGAATGAAAGTACTACAGTGTTTTCCCTCCAAGAGCTACCTTTCTAACCCATGTTGCCCATCTTTTCTAATGTTGATAAGTTACACAGATATTTTTTTTTTTTAATGTGGCTGCCAAGAAATAAAACCAAGTGACTTGGAAAGTGGATGTTGTGAAGTAAAAGCTCACAAACCATGCAAGTTAGTTATGTCTGATTTAATGAGATGAAATAACAAAGGCTCTGGTGTGCAATTATAGCAATGAATATGTCTGAGAAGGACAAAGTAGAACTTTAATGTGAGCACTTAATGACTACCGCTTGGTACAACTATATTTTACTTTCTTCTCTTTGATTTTTCTTTCTTCTAAATGGTTTCTTATGAGTTTTTCAAAGCTTAATAAACCCTGGCACCTCTAAAGCATACATGGCCTGGGTAATAGCTCAAAAGGTGAGAGAATGAGCTAAATACTTACCCTTGATCTTGTATTTAGTACACCTACAGGAAACAATTACAAAAGGGATGAATTTCCCTCTCAAAACAAACCTTTTATTTGTTCCCTGTATTTAATACTAAAATACGTCTTCTGACATGCTTCCCCCTTCTCTCTGCTTTTTTCACATAGGCTTTATTTGTTATAGTCACAGTCTATTCAGAGGTTGAGCTTGGTCTGTGAAGACCAGGTGTCTGTCTTGGTAGGGGCATATTAATTGGCTTTTCATTTTGTGGAGTACTATAGCCATATTTTGGTTCAATACAAGAGGTTTTAACTAACTTTGTTATTACTTGCATTTTTAAATGAATAAAAAGCTGCTATTTTTCTTCTGCTTTTCAGTAAGCTTTCAAGGCTAGAGAATAAGAATGTTGACTGTTACATCTATTTACTTACAAATTTTTGTTTGCTCTTGCAAAAATTTGGGTGGAATGTCATTACACAGAACTTTTTAGGAAGTAACACACAGGTTTACAACTTGAGAAGCCAGAAGAAACAGCAGTTCTTTGTGGCTTTGTCTATACTGTGGATATTACTACTAAGGATAGGTTGTGTATAGAGATGTCACCTTTCTCTTAAAACTATGAACAGAGACCAAGCTAAATGGTTCATCCATAAAAATATTTATTAACTGAAACCAAGTTAACAAAAGAGGCAGGGATGCATTAGCACTGAATTCCAGAAAATGTAAGCTGTTTTTCTCGGTCTTGGAAATTTGTAACTATATCAAGGTTGTAATTCAACTTTCTGCTAATTAAGCCAAATGGTGTTTGTCATTTAGTGTGAGATTAACTGTAAAACTGAACTGCAGTTGTAATGTTAAGAGATTATAGAAACTTATATTAATAATAAAAAGAAAATGGGCCTAAACAATCCTGTGTTTTCTTTCTCTTAAGTGATCATACATAATATTTTTTCCTCACATTTGTCCTGTTTGATTGCCTTAAATTGATTTCATCCCCCCCGGTAACAGTTATGCCAATAGGTAAGCATTCATAGAGAGTGAACTCAATATATCATGTTTGTCATGCAAAATCATAAAAATAAAGGAAATACAGTAATGAAGGCTTTGTACCAGCATGCTGTATTTCAGATAAAATAGAAAAACATCTGTAATCATAGTATTCTGTGAAGATAAGAGCTAGTTGTTGCATTGCTTTCAGAAAGCATCTTTTATGTTTTCATTGCCCTCTGCTGGATGAAAGAGAATCTCTTTACTAGCCATAATAATAGTCCTGTGAAAGGTTTTGTCAGAAGATACAGCGCAGAGTAATTTCGCTCTATTTTTCTCGCACATACTATTTCTTATCACTCCAGAATGCCACTTTTGTAGTAAGTTAGTTTTATTGTGCTTGTTACTATGTGGAAATGTGTTAGACGGAGCCATCAGCAGATTTGAGACTATTTGAAGGCTATATACATGCAGTTTTCAATCATGTATACATCTGAACACAAAGGTGCATTTTCTTAAGCATTCTGCATCATTAAATCATTCAAACTTGTTTGAAGGATATTTTAAGAGATTTACGGTAATGTAATTGTGATTTTGTGTGGGGGGCTTGTTTTTTGGTTAAGCTTTTTAAACTGCAAAATATGTAGGTGGGGAGAAAAAAGACTTACTAAATTGCATGATTTAGCTTAAAACTTTTGTAAACATTGTCAAGTTTTAATTTGGAAAAATGAGTTGTCCCTCACATTGCCTCTGGAGAAAGGGAACTGCATCTACCAATTAAGTACATCATTTTTCTCCTAAATAACTTAAATCCAAGTATTTTTAATTGGACTTAAGTCTAAACACACAATACAAAGGAAATACTTTGTACTTTTCCGAGGTCCAATTTGCATCAAATCCAATATATATACTTTAACTTTTTTAATTAACATATAAACGCTATAGAAATAGTCTGTATGGTTGCTGGATGAATATACTAAACAGGTTCAAGATAGCTCTTGTATCCAGGCTAGGTACAGACAGTCAAAAAGGCCAAGTCAGAATCGTTCTAAGTTATGTGGTGTTCTGTAAGTAGCATAGTTTAGATTGGTAGTGAACAGAACACATTCACCCTTTGTGGGGGGGAAGCAAATATTAGACCAAGTTCTGCAATTTTTAAACCAGCAGTGTGCCAGACTTCGGGTATGGGTATAGACCAGTTTTGTGTGCCAAACTTACAGGTATAAACCAGTTTCTGATCACTTGTACCAGTAAAAGTGTAATGTCCATGCTTGGCTCCTATGTCTGTCACATGCCACTCAGGTTCCTGGTTCATAGAATATCTGCCCATATTTGACAGCCCTATATTGGTTCCCATCAGGTTCCAGGTTTTCTTTAAAACTGTACTTGGTTTAAAGAAAATGAATGGTGGTGGCCATTCATTCTGATCTGTCTTATCCCAAGCCTTTTACTGAGATCAGGCAGATCATTGGCAAAAATGGTTAGAATTCTGTTTCATTGTAAAGTGTAAGTTGACTCTCTTTTCATGTTTCCGATCCAAACCATTAATTAGAAAAGTAATGATAAATTAACAAATTTGCTCTTTTTTAACTTTCAAAGGAATATATTTTAAGTCTTGCAATAATCATGAGTATTTTAACTGTTTCTTGCACCTTGGCAGTTCAGTTTTACATAGCCTAACTTTGGGCTGGCTGCTCTTAAGAGCAAATTATGAAGGGACAGGAATTCCAGGAACAGGGGGACCACTGCCATGTGTCTGAGTGCTTTTGAAAAGTGGACAGTCCATTAACCTCTTAAATCAGTGGTCTCCATTCTTTTTAAGTAGGAGATGACTTTTGGCATTTAAAAGCAATCCAAGATGTACTGTGCGCCACTGCCACCCCACCCTCCCCCAACCCAGCAGGTAAGCCTGTGGCAGAGGCGGGGCAGATTGAGGCAGAGGGAGAGAAAATTATTTGGTGATGCACCTCCCCAGCAGCTAAGTCCCACCTGGCCAGGGCCCCACTCAATTTACCCCTG